GAATAAGTTCTATTATATTTGCTACTCAAGTGTGGTCCATGGACCAAGCAGTATTAGCATTGCCTAGTAGCTTATTAGGAATGCACAGTATTGGGCCCCACTGGAGCCTCCTGAATCAGCATCTCCACATTAAAAAGATCTGCAGGAGACTTGTATTCACAGAAAGTTTGAGAAGCCTGGCTGTGTGAGGCGGGGAGGGACCACTGCTCTTCTATTGTCATTGCCTGCAAACCTCAGGGGTGGGTGTCCAGCATATCTGGCTCCTAGCTGGGTGGGCAGTGCCCAGAAAGGGACACTCAGTGGGCATTTTCAGGAACCTCTGGATCTGCCTGTCTTCCTGGACCTCAGCCTCTGACTCAGCCTATCCCCTCTCTCGTTCTAGTTCAGAAAGTTACACTGGATTGATGGGAGTGCTGTAAATTTTAGTAACTGGGCTCATCATCATGGGCGTGGCCGCTGTGTGACCCTATGCACTAGAGGTGAGGGGAACTGGGCACCAGGGCAAAGGGAAGGGATGGCAAGGTGGACTCTTATACACTGTCCCTTTGAGCTGCCTGAGCACACCTCAAACTCACAGCCTCCCCACAACTGGAGAACCAACGTCCTGTCTGTGAGGAGGGCTGTGAAGTAGAGTAAAGGGGTGCCCTGTGTGAGGGCTGGATGGGGCTCTCCATCCTCACAGTCCAAGCTCGGCTGGGGCCCTGGGATCTTCTTTCCTTCCTCTGCTATTGATGTTACACTTAAGAATACCCAAGGTGAATGAAAGTTGTGGATGAGGGATGAGGGAGAGATGTGCGAATTAGGAATGGCTGAATGCCAGACGTGAGGGACTCAGGACTGTGGCTAAGGCCATACACGCTGGAGAAAGGCTGCCCCAATTCCCATCCCAGCTCTGCCACCTGCCCACTGGCTTTCAGGCCAGTGATTTCCTTGCTGAGCCTCAGGTTCCTCATCTGTGCAGTGGGGATGATGAGAGTGCCTCCCTCTGGAAGTGATTGTGAGGATTAGCCAGCAGCCCCCAGAAAGCACTCAGCACCCTGTCTTCCTAGAGTGAAAACTCAATAAACACAAGCTAGTGGGGGGGGGGTGCAAACATATCATGACAATTGGAGGGCAAAGGGGGCACGGGCCACACACTCCTGGCAGCTGACACCACTGTGTTTTCTATTTTTAGGAGGTCGCTGGCGACGAAAATGTTGTATAAGTCGCCTGCCCTTCATCTGCTCCTACTAAGCCAGAAGC